GGTCGTAGGGGTAAAAATGGGGTGCCGGAGCCCTGGGGAAGCCGCTGCGGACGACCGAGCCCTGGCCAGCCTCACGAAGACCTCCAGGGCCTCGGGGACCCGGTCTGCTCTCTGGGACGTGGCATCTCTCTTCAGTCAGTCCAGGAAAGCGGCCCAGGATTCAAGAGCCTTGGTCCTTCTCTGGGGGCGCAGCCCCACTCCTCTGGCCAGCTCCAAGCACCGGGGTCTTGCTCCTTGCTTTGGGGCCTGGCCCCACTCCTCTGGCCCTCCCCACAGGGCGCCCCGGGGCACGGGAGCCCTGGTCCTTCGCCCACGACTTTGTCCCTCTTCTTCGGGGACGCGGCGCTCCCTCTCTGCGGCGCGGTTGCCCCACGTCCATCGCGGGCTGGAGTTGTGCCCGTCCTGGCATCGGCACAGGGGACCGGGTCAGCGCGGGGGCCCAGGCTGGCGTCTGGGGGCGTCAGGCCGCTGACTGCGGGCTAAGGTGGTAGGACAGGCAGAGCGCGGTGGGAGCGGAGCCTGGGCACTCTCGGCAGAGCCGCGGCCGGCAAAGCACGGGGGCAAGAGATGCGGGGCAGCACCGGTGCACGGACCCCGGCACCAGCCGGCCACTGCAGCTCCTCCGGTTTCCCCACCCCGGGAAACGCCTCCGTGCAGCCCCGGCAGCGGCACGTGTGCAGATGCACAACCCATCGCTGCACAGGGGCGGTGTGCATCTCTGCGCGCATACAGCGCGCGTCTGCGTGCAACTCGCTCGCAGTGTGAGTGTGTGCATGCACACGTGTCCTCTGCGTGCAGCCACAGCCCTCTCCTGGCCTGTCTCTCTGCGTGCACACGCACGTCCATGTGCGAGCACGCCCTGGCGTGTCTCGGAGCGTGCACACACACGTCCGTGTAAAAACACGCCCATCTCCTGGCATGTCTGTGCGTGCACATGCGTGGCCCTCTCCTGGCGTGGCTCTGCGTGTGCATGGCCCTCTCCTGGCTGGCTCTGCCTGCGCACGTGTGGCCCTGCGTGCACGTGTGTCCTGCGTGTGCCACTGCTGCCCTCTACCGCACACAGCCAGCATGGCTGCCCGGACACCTGGGTCCTCACCGCTGTGCTTGCAGCCCAGAGGGGTCCAGGCAGGCCCTGGGGGCTGTGCAGGGCCTTTGGTTATGGCAGCCGGGGCCTGTCCAAGTTCACAGCCAGGCACAGCCTCTTCCCTGACCAGGGAGGTCCCTGGCACCGGCACCAGCACCAGCAGTGCGGCACCCGCGCAGCCCACCACGGCTGCGGGCCAGGGCTGGGAGCAGTGCTTGCCCCTCGCAGCACCGCACGGGGGGAGTGAACGATAGCAGCCCCCCTCGGTCTCCTCCAGCCTCCGGCAGCCTGGCCCACAGCTCCTGCCGCCCCCAGCTCCCCACTCCGGCCCTGCTCCCCCAGCTCAGCTCTCCTCCGCAGAAGGTGCTGCCAAGCAGAGAGCTGATGCTGGGCGCTCTGCCCTGGCCCTGCCTGTCCCCGGTGCACAGCGCCCGACAGCTGCAGGAGACCCCGGACCGTCAGGGCTGGACGGATGCTGCTCTGGCAGCGGGAGCTCAAGCAGCGGTGGAGGAGGGCAGGGCTGGATGGGGCTGAGCGTGGGCGCTGGGGACTAAGGGACTGCAAGGGCAGGGGCAGCGGAGAAGGATGCCATGGGCAGATAGGGGGCACAGGCCGGGGGAAAAGGGGGCACAGGTGGAGTGGGAAAAGGAGGTGGGTCTGTGGGAGAGGATGGGGGAATTTGCCCCATGGCAACGTTGATCCCAGAGGTATGACTCACTCCCCACTGCGGCTGCCTGTCCCATATAGGGAAATCAGGCTGCGAGGGCCAGCACCTCCCGGAAGCGCTCTACCCAGCTCGCCAGGCTCCCTGGGCACGCCACGCCAAGCCAGCTGGCCCCCTGCCCCGCTTGCCACCCCTCCTGGCCTTACCTGACTTGACGGAGCAGTGGATGTGTGCCTTGGACTCGTAGTAGACCCAGTCGAAACCAGCTTCCACAGCCAGGCGAGCCAGCATGCCGTACTTGTTCCGGTCCCGGTCTGAGGTCGTGATGTCCACGGCTCGGCCCTCATAATGCAGCGACTCCTCTGAGTGGTGCCCGTCCTCATCCCAGCCCTCTGTCACCCGCAGCTTTACCCCCGGCCACTGGTTCATGACGGAGATGGCGAGGGAGTTCAAGCGGTCCTTGCAGCGCTGCAGGGCAGAAGGGCAGCGTCAGCAAAAGCTTTTTGGGGACGGGGGGTAATTTAGCAGCTTGGTTCGCAGGTTGTATCCCACCACGCTTCCACAAAGTCCAGGAACAGGGAACAGTGTGATGGGCAGCCAGGGGGACGGCCCATGGATGGCAGGATGCCTGCCTTCCTGAGGTGCATCATCCCACCTCCATCCAGCCCTGCTGGTCCCTTGCTCGGTCACACAGATATGTCTCTCATTGCTGTCCCATCCACAAGTCCTTCCTCCAGCCCAGCCCCCCTCAGCTGGTCCCCAGACCCTTTGGGGCCTGGCCTAACAGAGAAAGGGCCCCAAAGTTGCCCCAGATCCGAGCACACGAAACACTTTGTCCATCCCGTGCCCTCCAGATGCCCCACAGTGATGGCCGGCACCCCCCTCTTTGACTCACCATCTCCCAAGTGCTTGCAGCCCTGTAAGTTAACCATCTCCCTCCCCATCTCTCCCCCACTTCCCAGCTCGCTGAGGAACCCGTTAGGACACACAGTCTCCTCCAGCACAGCTCAGGATTAAAAGCCCTGTTGGCTCCTAGGACAACTCCCCTGCACTAGTGCTGCCCGAGAGGCTCCAGCTCACATGAGGGGGATGCAGGACCTGAGACCTTGCTGCTGTCCCAAGTCTCCCCCCAAGTCCCTGGCACAGGGGATCTCTGCACCCTGTCTCCTGCCCAGGTACCCCTGCCCCAGCTCTCCCCTGCCCTCCGGAGTCAGGCACCCTGCAGACTCTCAGACCCCTCCAGCCCTCTGCACCCCTGGGAAGGCGCTGAGCTGGGGGAGAAAACACACTGCTCACCAGCATAACTGAAACAACCTGCCTAGCCCGCAGCACAGCCTTCCTAGCATCTCCCCTTAGGCTGGTCCTGAGCTCCAAGGGGCATAGCACCAGGGCAGCTTCCTAGTCCCAGCTGTTCTCTGCTCATGTGGGAAATGCCAAACCCACTCTAGAGCTCCGCTGTGCTGGAGAAGGGCTCCTATGGGGTGAACTCCCCTCCACCTCTCCCACCTCCAAGGGCTGGTTCCTGTGGGTGCCTCACAGAAAAGCTAGGGCTGAGAAACGCCAGCAGGTCCCAAAAGCCCCAGGCCTGGTGGCCAAAGAGATCCCATGGAGAAGCCGACTGTCCTGCCTCATCGTACACTGCTGCAGTCTCCTGTGCCCCAGGACTCCCTGGCAAGCAGAGAGATGCCAGGCCTGAACATCTGTGCATGAACACTGCACTCCTCCAAACCTCACCCAGCGCTGCCAGATCCCTCAGAGCAGCAGCTCCATCCACAGCCACATCTCAGGATGGGATCAAGCCTGGTCCAACCCCACGCAACCCCCTTGTGTGCTTGGCTTGTGACTGCAGCCTGCAGTTCTGTTCCTTTCCCCCATTGCGACAGGGATGGAGGAGAAAGAGAAAAGGCAAAGAAAAGGCAAGGCAGGATGACGACAGGCTGAACAGCTTCTAGACAAAAACATGCGAATGGACTAGGACTGTGCAGCCTGGAAAGAAGATGGTAGGAGAGGTACAAGGGAGCTCTATAAAATCACAGAGGGGCATAGAGCACTCATAGTCCTGCATGATGCAAGTCTTGGGAAATATTAAATGAAAGAGAAAAGCCCTGGTGCTGCCTGCCTCTGCCTGCAGGGAGACTTCCCCCCACCAAATGTGGGCTCTTGCTCTGTCCCCCAGGACCTCCTCCTGTCCCGGGGAGGGGGGAGGGTGCTGGGACCCCCGGCCCCACTGTTCTCTGGGAAACCTGCAGTGTGTTTGGCATGGTCTGGGCCCCGAGAAGCGCAGTGCCAGGCAGGCCTTTGCCCCGCATGGGGCGGGGGAGCACCCCTGCCCTAGTCCCTCCCCAGCCGCAGCTCCTTGGGTGCAGGGAGATAAGCCAGGAAGGTGTTGGATAAACAGTTCCTCAGGGAGAGGAGGAGGAGGGAGGAGAGTGACTTTTGTCCTCATGAAACACCGCTGTGGTGCCACTTGGCACATGGCACAAGAAGGCTCCCAAGGCCCCGTCCCTGCTGAGAAGAGCAGCAAGGGGTGATCGGGGGCAGGAGGCTGGGAAGGGGTCTACCTGCAGAGGCAGGCAGGGAACCCGACCAACGTGCCTTGGGTGCACCGCATGGTGTGATTGCACGGCCTCCTGCAGGAGGGGACTCCAGCCTTTCCCTCACTGCTCCCAAGCGAGCACCCTGCTCTGGGCACCCCTCTGTCCTCACCGCCTAACCATGACACCCTCTGGGGGCACTATGCCTGGCATAGCCCCAACCCAAGAGACTCCCCAGCTCTCGTCCTTCTGTCTCCCTGCCAGGGCCACCTGTGGCCACCAGCCTTTGGGAAGGGCCATTCTCTCCTAACTGGACCCACCTCTGCTCCCTTGTGCCCTGAACGTGCCTCTGCCTGCAATGCCCCGGCCCAAGGGATGCACCTCACCAGGGGCAGCCCCCAGCTGCCCCCACCCCAGGCAGGGCCGAGGTGGCATACAGGAGCCCCCAGGAGCACCTTGCTGCTGGGGTTACCAAGACGGGTGGCTCTGCCTGTCCCTTTGGTGACCAGCAGGTGTCAGAGCACGGGCAGGGAGCAGGCAGGACCAGGTTGGGCTGCAGGCACCTAGAGGCCCCTGTGCGGGAGGCTGTCTCCATGCCCCTGGGATGCTGCAGGGAGAGCCCATCTCCATCCCACTAAGCAGAGCCCAGAGGGGTCAAAGCATCCTCAGGGAGCAGGAGGGGGCTGGTCTTCCTTCACAGGATGACTCCCCTCCTGCCTGGGGGTGAACAAGGTATCAGTAGGTGACAGGGAAGATGTAGGAGTGACACCATGGCCCTTTGTCCTGGGGATGCACTCCAGGCCCAGGGGACCTATGGGGCATGGGTTGGGAATGTGATGTCTCAGCTCAGCTCAGCTATATGGTGCTGAGTTGCGGCTCACAAGCCAGGCCCCATGGGGAATCACCTCCTGCCGCCCCAGCACTGCTCCTGTGCCTGGCCAGGAGGAAAGCAAGGCTGAAATCCATGAGACAGACACAGAGCAGAGTTTGGGTGAAGACATGTGTGTAGTGACAATGCGTGTGAGGGAGGGGGAGGGCACAGCCTGTGCCTGTAGTGTCACAGGTAGCCGGACACCCGAGGCCACGTGAAAAGGCAGGACCGGACCCATCGCACCTTGCTGAGCTTGGTGGCTCTGCACTGTCCCTCAGCAGGGCATGTCCCTCCCTCAGCCCATGCACAGCCAGCTGGGGACAGGAGCTGGGGACCCCTTCTGCCCCACGACAGCCACGGGCCAGCCTACGGGGCAGCACGTCAAGGCAGAGACCCTGGGGAAGCAGCGCTGAGTGGAGGTGTGCTCCCACTGATGGACATGGCATCACTCCATGCTCATGCCCAGCCCTGGGGGCAGGACCATGTCCTTTGGAGGAACCCAAATCCCTTTTGGTAACGCAGTAGGTCTGGAGGGATGGCATAGCTCCAAGATAGGGCACAGCCAGGACCCAGACCCTGTAGGGACCCCAGGGCCATCACAAGGAAGCTGGGGACACTGGACACTGGGGTTGTGGGTGAAATGTGCTCAGCCACAGCCACCCCTACACTCAGCACCCAGCCAGGAGCAGAGGGGGCCCACTAGCATCTCCCACCCAGGTGAGGTCTCTCCTAAACAGGAGCCCAGTCCCCAGAAGAGGGCATGAGGTTCCCGTGAGCAAGTCATCACCACTGCAAGGATGATCTCCACACCGGTTTGGCCTATGCTGGCTGCAAGGGGGGACAGCCAGGGGTAAGGAGAGGCTTGGGGTTGGGACTCCGTGGGGGCAGGGGATTGGGGACATTCCTGGGCCAGGCTGCCGGGGAGAGGTAAGGCAGGCTCTGCCTCCAGCCTTATCTCAGCACCTCCGAGTGGGACCAGCGAGAGCAAACACACTGGAATTCTTGAGGAAGATGAAACGATAAAGGAAGGCGGGCAGAGAGCAGCACTACCCCCCCCCCCCAAGCAGCAGGCATCTTCCGGCTGCATGGGACACCCAGACCCTTGGACTTGGGGAAAGAAAACAGGTTTGAAGTGAGTCAACGGCAGTAAAAGCTAGCACACTGGGGGAAGGGAGAGGGAGTTGGGTCAATGGCCCTTCCCAGCTCCCAGCTGCACAGGGGCATGGTGGAGCCAGAGCTCCCATGCCTTGGGGCATCTCCCACAGCCAGGGGCCAGTAGACAAGCCCAGAGGGCCCTGGAGAGTGTGAGCAACCAGAAGTCATGCCACCGCCTTGACAAAGGGGACTACTGCCTTGCAGAGATGCCCTGGGCACCCATCTGTGCATGGACATGCAGGGGCTGGGGACCCCATTGGGGTAAGAGCCCTCATTGGGGCATTGCACATACCCCCCACCCCAAGAAAAGTGGGGAGCTTCCTGGTGCCCTGCCAGCAATGTAGTGGGACAGCAGGAAGCGTGGGGCTGGCAGGTAGGATGCAGAAGCCTCCCTTTCCTGGGGGTGCCACTGGGAGCATCACCTGGGTGAAGGCAGGCAGTGGGAGCAGGGTCAAAAGCAAACACAGGTGGGAAGCGCTCTCTCATCTAAGCAATGCGATGTCACCACTTCCCCGACGCGCGGACCAGCCGAGCTCACCACTTCCTCAGTATCCCTGGACACGAGGCCGTTCCCCAGGGGACGCAGGCTCCAGCCCAGCCCCGGGGCCCTAGTGACCAGCAACCACAACTTGTGCAACTCTCCGAGATAGGTGCCGCTTCACAGGGGGGCCTCAGACCCCTCTGCTGCAGCCCTCAGCCAGAGCGTCATCCTAGGCCATGGCCCCCTGCCCTCAAGGAGCTGCCCCTGGGGCAGGTGGGGTTACTGAGCTGTCAAGCCAGCACCTAAGCTGCTTCCCAGCTTCCTCCGTTGCTACCAACACCTTGGCCAGAGTCCACTGCCAGAGCCCTGCTCGCTGCCTGCCACCATTGACCATCCCATGCTCACCCACCTACACCCCAGCCCCCCCCCCCTCCCAGCCCCAAAG